TGGGCGGGGTCTTTGACAGTGACGGTGGTAGGTTTGTTGATCCGCTCCCCGAATTTGCCCCAGAAACTGTTCAGCATGAGCTTGGCCGTGGCTTTGCGACCCGGATTTTTGGCAATGCTGGCAATGTCCAATCGGATGCCTTCCCGTTCCTGGTAACGAAGAATGTAGTTGCGTTTTTGCTCAAGGGTCTGACACCAGCCGGGCCACCCTGCCGATTCTTGTTTGATCTTGAGCCACGTGTTCACGTAATCAGCAAAAAGACCCGTTTGGCGTTGCTCGGGAGGGAAATGCCAGACTTCGTGAATCTTGATCAGCGTATACCCCTTTTCGACGGCTTTGACCAATTCGGGTGTACACCAGGTGCCGCGTAGCGTGCGATCCGCATCGGAATGAGGGCAATAACGGGTTCGGGTCAACATGGGTTGGGCCTGCTCGGTCTCGACACAAGCACGACAGAGAGGAAACGTGAGCTTGTTGCCGCTACGCACGGGTAAGACGGGGTGGAACAAACCAGCGGGAGGAAGAATGTCGACGGTGGCTAGACCAAAATAGGATTCCAGGGACTGGTCAGCGGGCTGCGTGATGATCCGCGGATGCCCGATGGGATAGGGACAGTTCTTATTCACCTACGGGTACAGGGAGGTCACATCCACATAGCGTATTTCCTCACCTTCTCCAGCCACAGCATGTAGAGTTACGGCACCGGTTCGACCCCCAAAGAAGGCTTGACGGGGTTCCAGGGGTGCCACCAAATCGAAGGAAGTCAGAAAACGTTGGACGGCTTCATCGGTGTCTACCATTGTATCCCATTCACACTCCCACATTTCAATGACTGTATAACCCGCTCGGAGCAATGCCATGCGTTTGGAGAGCGTGGCTTGATAGAGTTCCTCCACAGTTCGATCTGGCGTGGCATAATGTTTGGCGTTTCTCGCGGGATAACAGCGGGGACAGCCATGGTAGAGACACCCGTGAAACTCGTAGACGGTGCGAGTCACAGGATCGTAGCCATCGACGAAATGACTGTCGACGCTGGTTCGGACCGACTGTTCGCCCCCATTACGAACGTGACGTATGCGATCAGCACTGGCCCCCTCTTTGGGAATAAGGTGTTCTTGGTAATAGAGCCACTGTAGGGCTTTGAGGGAATGGTTGACTTGGGCCCCTCGCCACCCTCCGAGAGGTTCCACAGCAATAGTGTCGGGGGTCAAATGATGCTTGCGCCAATACAGATTGCAGGCACTGGCAATGGTGATACACTTGGCCATGGGGTTGAAGCCAGCCTGCTGTTCAAATTCTTGTTGAAAGGCTTCACACCCCGCTTTCAATAGAGCCACATCGGATTTGCAATAATCAATCATTTCTTGCTGGAAATTGAACGTGACATGACGACGGACTTGATCGGCGTGCCAACGAGTCAGTTCGTCTTTCTTTTTAGCCATCATACCCTCAGGATCGTAAAATTCCAGATCAGGGATGCGTCCCACATACTGTTGGTGATCGGGGGTATTGAACAAATGAGGAAAGAAGCCCTTCTTTAATTCGGTCAAATTGAAGGTACTGGAAAAGGAGGCCAGCGGCATAGGCAAAAAACACAGCGAGTCAATGAATTTGATAGGTCCACTTCTGAACGACAACACTTTGGCTCCCACGGTCAGTTGATCCACAACCTCGCGTTGTTGCTGGTACAGTTCATGGAGAATGAACATGCCATCAAACCCTTTCAAATTATGAAACACCACGAGTATCGTCCGCTCAGCCTCGCAATCTGGAACGTCCGTGAGATCATCCAAATCGCGCAAAAATTGTAGGGCACAGTCCTCCCCGTCCAATACATGGATGGTCGTTTCGGCACTGGACGAATAACATAACAAATTAGCGACAAACACGCCTTCTGCATTCTGCATGGCTTCAAAATCCGCGTAAACAAACAGGGGAGGGGGTGGCGCCACCATGCTACCTCTCCCCTCCTCTGTGGGTTCAGTCTCCTCTCGTTCCACCACGGGCTGAATGTAACATTTATGGTCTTGGATAGGTACCCATTCCTGACACACAGAACATTTGGCGTACCCGCACCGGTGACGTTGGTTGCGGACGACCGTGTATTGGGCTTGACATTTGAGACAAAGTTTGATGGATTGACATTGGGCATCGACTTCATGATAACGTTTACATTGACCGCCGTAAAACTTGCGGTGACACAGACTGCAATACTCGGTGGGGCGAGTGCCACGCACATAATCCGGACAATCAAAACGTCCACATGCAGAGCAGCGTCTTCCTTGACAAGTGTGATTGGTTCGATCGTTGGTGTTGAACCCTCGTTCACAGTCCAGGCAATAATACGAACGGTTGACAAAGGCGGGAAAGGACGTGCAGCCGTCAAAATGATCATTGGACTTGAGTAAACGAATCTGATGAGGGGCAATGGGACCTTTGAAAATCAAAAAGAACGGTTTCATCCGGGTCATCACCAAGAGTTGATATTGAGACCCCAACGCGTGTTGAAATTGACGAAGCTCAGGTAAACCACAAGGTCCCTCAGCGACTCACGCTTGCTGATGGAGGGCCTGGGCTTGACGTTGCTGCACAGGATAACCACGTTTGAGATTGTCCCAGTCGCGAAACTCGTCCACGCCTTGATCTTTATGGCAATGGGCTCGCATGGTGACAATGGCACGGGCACAACATAAAGTATCTCTGTTTCGGATGGTGACAATGCATTTTTTTTTCTTGTTAACTCGATCCAGGCATAAACGTCCCACATTGCGTTGTTTATGTCGACCAGACCCTGGGCCGGGCATGGAGACGAACACTACATCTACTTGGAACCCGCGATAGGGGTTGAAGGCTTCATTGCTGTTTAATTTCCCAGCTAGGGTGGCCAACATCTCATCCAAACGAGCGGTGCGTTGTAAAAATTCCCCCACGGTGAAATTGGCGGTTTGATAAGCGTGGGTGAACCCATGCGCTGTAATGGCAAAGTTCACAAAATGATGGGCGGGTCGCTGTTCACGACCGAGTTCTGTTTCAATGGCTTGGTGTAATGCTTCCGTGAGTGCCATGCCAATATTGTCCCCAGCCACAGGATCCCTCAATTGACGCAATTGCGCATTGAATTGCGCCCGCTCCACCACATCACGCCAGCGGCGTCGTCGACCTATAGGTTGCATGGTAAATTGAAAGAGAGGGCCTCGGGCGGCACCAGCCCCTCCCAACTGTTCCCACCGGTCATAGGCACGGTTCAACAGAGCCTCTTCCTCCTCGTCACTCACAGGATACCAGGGGTCCTCCGCCATGACGGAGGAGACAATTTGAATGTTCCCGCGCCGGACGCTGGCTTTTATAGACCCAAAAACACGTGATCAAACGAACGGGGATTGGTGGATAGGACTCAGGTGAGAGTCAGGTGAGAGGGGTTGATTGGTCAGGAGGAGGATTGAGGGGGGTGCCCCCCATGGGTACAGATTTCTCAAGTCTCCTCTGAGCCTGGATCGAGATCGCTGATTGGCGGAGAGATGGCTAGATATAGGCCATCGTCCAGACCAGACCTCAGTTGTGTTCGAGAATGCCCAATCGAGATCCTGAGAAGGTGAAAGAGGCTAAACACAGGTGGTACCTGAAACACAGGGAGGAGATTGCGACACGGAAACGGGAGCAGCGGGCGGCTCAGAAAAAGCTCAAACCGCCCAAACCGCCCAAACCACCCCCGACCCCGGAACAGATTGCCAGAGCCCGAGAGTTGAATCGGTTGGCCTGTAACCGGTACCGAGCTGGCCATTTAGCCCAAGTGCGTGCGCTGAACCGCAAGTATTATCGTCAACACCGCGATAAGATTGTGCAACAGCAACGGGACCGTCGTGCCCGGAACAGACAGACGCCTAATCCCTTTCGAAAGTTGCAAGCGTTGGCGGACGTGTGTGCGGCCCGAGTGTTGGAATTAGAGCATGGATATGCCAAGATCGCGCCAGCCCCGGACAAAGCGAGACCCTGAAAAAAACAAACAACAACAAAAGCGGTATCGGCAGCGCCAGTACGCGGCCCTGAATGGGATTGAGGACGTGAAAGCCATCCACCGTCGTCGCTACCATGAACGGATGGCTCGTATGAAAGCCAATGGGGAGTACGAGGCCTTCAAGGCCAAAAAGACCGAAGAGGGGATGCGACGTTACCATGGTATGACAGAGGAACAGCGAAGTGAGGTCAAACGCAAAAACGCCCAGTGCCAACGTAACTGGATGCAGAAAATGAAGGACAAGGGGTTGTACGAGGCCTATAAGCAGCGATTGAATACGCGACGGCGGGAGATCGCGGCCGAGAAAAAGCGTGTGTTGGGCGAGGAAGGGTGGCAAGCGCTACAGAAAGAGAGATACGAGAAGCGAATGGAATCGATTCGACGTCGAAATTGGTCCTGGTTGGACGAGGCCTTGGAGCGTCCCTTTCCCTTACCGTGGCTGCCTTTGGACTGGGCCGAAGCCGAACCTGAAGCGGAGGATAGGGTGCAGACCCTTCGCGCCGAGGCATTGCAGCAAATGGACTTGTATTTGTAAGAACAAAAAAATGAAGTTTAATTAAAACATGTGTGATGGAACAAAGTGGTCTTTTTTATGACTAAGGGGGTTTACATGCCCAATCGGAGTTTGGCTTTCATAATGCGTCTAACAATACGTTCTGTCAAGTTTTTACTGCCAGGGAGTTGATCAATCTTGGCAATCATCTTGCGATCTGCCGCCCATTTATCTTTCAAATTCTTGGCTTTATCATAGTCGATGTCATGCGCTTTAGCAATCCTGTCCAACCGGATGATGCCGGGATCCCCACGGGCCAATCGTTTCTTTAAATGAGTACCAGGGCCCATATACTGATAACCGGGCCAATGAAATTCAATGCCGGTCTTGTTGAGAAGGTTTTGTACATCAAATAACTTGCCGCCACGTTGCGAGCGTCGTCGTCTCGATCGGGAACGGGGCGCCGCACGGCGTCTACGAGTTCGTCCCATGTTAGGGGGTTTTCCACGATTTCCACTCCAACGCTTTCTTGGCCCAACCTGCAGCTTTCTTTTTGGCAACACCCGTGGCTCTTTTGCGAATCCCGCGCTTGAATGATTGCTTGAGGGTGTCCACACGTTCTTTGGGGGTTTCCCAAGGGGCTGTTCCAGGCTGCTCGGAAAAGGGCAACTCGTGCGCCAATTCTTCACTACTCAACGGGGTCGTGAACTGGAGTTTCTTTTTGGCACTGGGGGTGATCTTCGGTTTAGGTGGGACAGGTGGTTTTCTGGGTCCACGAGTCGGGGTGCCTTGTTTTATACCCTGGGTGGCCTTGACCAATTGCGTGAACCAGGCTTGCATCGGGCCCGCCTCAAAATCATCGTCGCCCGGGGTCGTGGCTCCTGCGGCACTCACACCTCCAGCTGCGGCTCCAAACGGTTGGCGCACTTTTTTGGTCCAATGGCGTAATTGACGGCTCACGGCTTTGAGTTGAGGCCGTTTCCAAGCATCGGGGGCCTCGCTGGTCAGCAGCACATGTTGTTTGGCCGCTAAATAGGCCGCTTTAGTCAAACGGGTATCTTCCACCAATTCTTGTTTGTACTGGTCTCGTAATTGTAAAAAAGCCGGGGCGTTGTCCACCGTGGTGCTCACCATCTCGGGTTCCATAGTGCAACTGAGGGGTCTGGTCTAGCGCATGCAACGTTTATAACATCGGTAGAGTTCCGGCCAGAGGGCACCCCCTTTTTGAGCCATCATGATGGCGCGTCGTCGTTTGACAGAATGGGCGGGTTTGGCCATAGCGCGTAAACTCTGGGCATGAGGTTTGAGCAATGTGATGGTCTGTCGAGAACGGGGTACCGTGCCACGGAGAGTGTTCATCACCAATTCACTGATGGCATTGATCTGATCCGCATTAGCCATCCGCAACAATTCTTGGCGTTTGTGTTGATTGGCTTCTTGTAAGACACTTTTTAAGAACGGGGCTTGACGTTCCATGCGCCAGGCCATGATGAATCTTGAGTTCAGGCAATGACCAAGGTCTATTTATGGTAAAAATGGCGCCACACCTGCCACACAATTCGCCATGATAATGCCGTTGCATGTGATCTCGACACCGTGAACACAAGGCCGCTTCATACTGGTCGTCCCAATCCAAAGCAAACGTAACGGCTTTTCGTTGGGGTCGACGTCGGTTAGTCCGGGCGTCGAATACGGACTCTGGGTTTGTATTTCCTGAGCCACAAAGGCGAGAGAGCCATTGCCAAAAGCGGTAGCTTAGCGCCGCGTTGTAATCCACGTCGCCGGCGTCGTTTTCGAGGGACATAACGATGTCGGCGACCGTTGGGTCCACGGACCATCCTCAATTGGTGTCTTGTGTCCAACCAGATGTTTCTTTTATACCATTCCTAGAGTCCGCAACGGGGGTAAGCCTGTTCGACTCAACATCCGTTGGACCCGTCGTTTATTGGCTGCCCATTGCGCTGCACTGATCTTGCCCACTTTTTTCTTTTTACGCTTTTCCAAGGCTTTCTTGACCCCGTATTTGGCTGCACTGCTTATGGCAGCCGACGCAAGGGCCTTACCAGCTATTAAAAGTAGAGGAATGATCCCCCCACGTTGCTTTCGGCGACGTTTTCGTCGTGGACCACAGTGCATGATGACCTGTCTGACGGAGGACACACCTCTTGCTTTTTATACGTTTTTTTTCACATGATCGAACAATTAAACGATTCCCCCGCATATTTTTTCCGTTTGCCTGAGGCCACTTCCCGTCGACGTTTTTCGCCAATTTTGATGGCGCGCTTGGTTTGATGATCCCCGATGGCTTTGGTGATTCCATAACCGGCTTTGAGAATCCCTATAGGCAGGCCGACTCCAACACCCCCTACTTGACTGTGGGTCACACGCCGTGGTCGACGTCGAGTCCTGGTGCGTTTGCGTTTCCGAGCCATCGCGTGTCGACAACGGCCACACATTTTGGGACGATGGAAGGGAGGTCCCTGTTTTTATATCCTTTTTTGTTCACGGGCGTAGGCCCCGTCCGCGTGCTCGACCCCGTCCACGTGCTCGGCCACGGCCTCGTCCTCGACGTGGTGGTCTGGGTGGACTTGGACTGGAGGTTCGGGTGGATGTGCGGCGCACCGAAGGTCGCCCTCCCCCATCTTCGTAGACTGTGGTGACGGTATTGGTGTGCGTGATATTGCGAATACGTCTGCCCCGAGCCCGTTGTTGAGCATCTTCATTGAGCAAATCCAACCGTCGCCTTAATCCTTGACGTCGATCGTCATCGTCATCATCGCCATCCTCATCATCGGACGGAGGGGACGAATCGGGGGACGGTGGGGAGGGCACCCGGGGACGTCGTCGCGGTTGTTTGGCAGCAATGGTGGGACGTCCAGTGGGGGTCGTCACCGTGGAGGTAGTGGTCCTGGTCCCTGCCCCAGCGCTGCGGCGGCTAGTGGAGGGGCGGGAAGGTGCGGTGGTGGTCGTGGCGGTGGTGGCAGGGCGTGTTCGGGTCGATGTGGTGGGACGGGTTTGAGTGGCCGTGGTGGGGCGTGTTCGGGTCGATGTGGTGGGACGGGTTTGAGTGGCCGTGGTGGTGATGGGGGGTGGTGGCGGTGCCGTGGTGGTGGTGGGGGCAGTGCCAGTGCCCGCCACAGGCGGTAACGTGAACGCATCCAAGGCATCGTCTACATTGACTGGATAAGTCAAATTAAAATCGTCAATGTCTTGCTCCAATTGGGCACGATCCACGGGTCGAGACAATTCGGCCACCATGTCCGTCATGCTGCTGAGATCTCGGAGGACCGAGGGGGAGCCTACCCCCGCGGGCGAGAGGGTCGGTGTGTCCATGCGAGACGCTAACTCAGTATGTTGTCCGCCTTCTCTTTGTCGACGGACCCTGGCGAGTTCTCGTTGCAGTTCGTTTTCGAACGGCAGGGACATCCGCACGCAAGGTGTGGACCTGCGCCTTGCCTTCTCGAGGCGTTAAATGACTCCACAGGCGGTAGCGATCATCCGACGCAGGATGTACATCCAACATCAAATAGCCAAAGGGACGGGATGTGATGCGTTTAAATAGGCGCAAGACTTGACGCCATCGATCCGGAAAGGCTTGTAATAAAATCGTCCGTATACCCGTTTGATCCCGGGGGTTTTTGAACGCCACAATGTAATGCGCGTTGCGATTGATGGTCTTGGAAAATTTGCCAGGCGGGAATAAATCTTGCGTCAAATACAGCACCGTGATGTTGCGATGATGCGAATCTTTGGTGAACAAATCCAACACGCGCTTGTCTTGTCCCCCTTCTTCCATCAGATCGTCCAAGACCAGCACCCCGCCGCGCGTCCGACCAAACCATTGCGTCAAATGACGGGGGTCCGGTAACCCGCGATGAAACTGAATCCCATCCTTTTTTTGCATACGATCGAATCGGGGTTGCCAACGATCATAGGCATAGACAATCTTGCGGGGTTTGACTTGAAAGACGTTCAGGTACCGTAACCATTGTTCCACCAATTCACTCTTGCCACTGCCCGACGGGCCCGCGATGATCACACTGCTGGGTTGTCGGATCATGATTCCCACGGTCGAGGGTGACGTCGATAATGACCGGTGGCCCCTTTAGCACCCATGCGTTTATACCGTTTGTCGCGTCCCAATTGATCACCAATTTTATACGCTTTGGCCAACACGCTCATGATACCTCGCCCATTTTGGCGAAAGCGGGGTCGACGGGTGGAGGCGCGCTGTCGTCGTCGTCTGGGCATACCGTCCAATATTCGCGATATAAGCGGGGGGACTCGGACTGAATCAAACGTTCCATGGTTTCTCTTAAATACGTTTCGTTCATGCTGTCCATATAGTGCTTGAGGGAGACCCAGTCTTGGTCTTGCGCCAATTGTCGAGCCACTAACCAATGATACCCATCCCAGGCATCGATGCCTTGGACCGTGTTGACCCGCTCGATCGGGTGTTCCCACCAATACAAGGTTTCTTCGACAATGAACGCATCTACCGCACGCTGGACATCGGCTCGCGTGATCATGATGAGATACAATGACCACTCATGCACAAAACGTGTCGGTTTTATGGTTTTTTTTTAATGTCAACACTCACAATGATTACAAGTGATAAAGGCCTGGCGGCTCACATTCTTTTACCCCCCTTCAGGTCGGCGGGCATCGACTTCATCTTGTAATTCCTGTTTAATCACCCGTTTCAACTGCTCGGCCACTTTTTGATCATTCAACACTAAATTGTCGCAACTCCATTGACTTAAAAATTCTTGATAGGACCGTCCTTGCGCACGGGCTTTCAAGAAAAATAAAGCATAATGGCCACAGGTTTGACTATCCAGGGCTTGCAGGGTCTGGTCACTGCGCGTCAGGTACTTCCATCGACCCCACCATTGGTGCAACTCCGGGTTGGTGTACACGTGCAGGGGTAGCCCATAACTGTCAAAGATCTCGCACTGGTTCTTTTCCGTCCACAGGCCCAACCAATGCTGTCCCGGTTCTCCCGCTGGATCGGTGTTGACAATGTAGGCTTGACGGACACTCATGGCGGGGGATCGGGGGAGTTGGTCGGCCGGGTACACCCCATGAAACACGCGTCGTAATTCGGGGTCCTCCAGGGCCAGGGTCCGCAACACAGTATCACTGAGCGCCACAAACTCCATGACCGATGTCTTTTGACTTCTGAGGCAACCTCATCCGTTGATGTTGTACTTTATACCTCCCAGATGATTGATCTCATACATGTTTTCATACTCGCTCCACACCAACACGGTGATGTTATGACCCACTGCAGCGGCAAAATCAATAATCAGTCGCGTATTACCCGACTGACGGGGGTTGCGATACTGGGGGTCATCTGCTTTTCCACTGGGCACATTGTTGAACATGAACAACGTGCAGTTCTTGCCTTGTCCCCAATCACCAGGCAGCAGCATAGGGATCTTATCTTCATTGTAGGCACCCATGGCCTGTAGAAATCGATCGTAGCCCAGCAGATCTTCATAGGCTTGGTCTCCAGTCAGTTGCAGGGTTCTGTAAGGGTATTCTTCTCCATTCAAGGTCTGTCGTACTTGGGTGATCCCAAACTTTTGAAAGGCAAAGGGGTATCTTGTGAGGTCTCCATTGAAGGTGTTGGAATGCAATAACCCGACGATCACTCGGTCAGGAAATCGACCCACAAACACATTGTCTTGTTCCCACTGAGTAGTGCGTCCATCGAAGGAAAACGTGCGAATTTCACTCCGCACGACGGGGTAGCGGGCAATCTGTTTGCCCAGCTGTCTTTCTTTCTGCAGTCTGACATAGACGCTGGCATTCAGGGTCACTTTTCTCATCAGCAAGGTGACTTTGATGTCGTCATTGTGAATGGCTGGAAATTTCTTGGTGTTCAAGGTGCCTTTGTTAGGGGTACCCATCAGGTAGACAGTATTGGGGTTGAGGAAGAGTTCAAAGTCCATCTGGACATTGGGGACCAACAATTTGCCTGTCTTGAGGGTTGGCAAATGGGGGCGAATGATGAACGTGTGCCAATTTTGACCTAGCAACCGGCTGGTCAGGGCTCGCAATTCTGTATTGCCACTCCAATCCGCGCCAGTGGGCACATCCGAATTGGCTCCTGTGGCTCCCATGACTGGAATCACATTCAGCTGATTGACCCATCCTTGTGGGGCTAGCTTGGTGGCTCCTTCTTCTCGGTTGTAATTCAGCAGGGTTTCTACAAAGGCTCTGTAATGGTAGGTGTTGCTCTGTTCTGTCATGAGGACGCCATTCATGCTCATGGTGATATCTCGAAAGATGGTGTGACCGAAATTGTTGACGCAGTAGGTGTTTCTGGAATTGTCGCCATCGGAGACGGCCAAATTGGCCACCAACCCATTGTACCCATCCGCTGGATCGGTCAGGCGTACTTTGACTTTGAATCGGAGAGAATTGGTATCGTAATAATCGTCGGAGCCTGGAATGGAGAAGGTGATGGGTTGGATGCCCGTCAAGGCGGGTTGAAACTCCACCTCCCGAGAGGCTTCGTACCGATAATCCACATCGGGCACGTCAAATAGACTGAGCGACATGATGCGGTCTGTCCACGTTGTTCAACGGCGTCGTCTTTTTATACCCTGTCGTTGCCTCCTGGCTTTGGCTTGGTTGGCCCATAACACTTTTCTGAGATCCCCTCCTTTCATGCGGCGCAGGGCCTGCTGCACCCTCCAGGGTTCGGGGTTGATCCGGGGCGACGCAGACGGGAACCCCAAAGGATTGTTCTGCCTGCGGGTGGACTTGCCAAAAATCGTGCCCCCTTTCATCTTGCGGCGTTGTTTCACGTGTTTCAGGACCATGGGATCCAATAGGCGAGACGACGTGTGCATCAACGGATAACGCGCCATGGTCGACTTGCCAAAGATCGTGCCCCCCACTTGATACGGCGAAATAAACCGTCCACGGGCACGTTGCCGTCGAATGCGATTTTGCGATTTGAGAAAGCCTCCTACACGTACCATTTTTTACAGTCCAAAGATATCCCGTACACGTTGCGTGGCTCTTTTATAGGTATTTTGGGCAGACCGTTTGACCTTGTGTTTGCCAGTCGTCCAGGCCATGGCGGGGGCTTTGCGTTTCAACCCGCGGCTGAGTTGGGCACTTCGATCCGCCCACGTGTCCGCGGCACTCTTTCCACGTTGAATATCTCGCAGTCCCGCTTGAGCTTGCTGCACGATCAGGGGTCCCGCGAGTTTGATCAAGTCTTCCGCCAAGCCTTTACCCTTTTGCTGGGTGAGCACGGGCGTGTGGTACCGCGTTAAACTGCCTCCACGCATCTTGAGTCAAGTGTTTTTTGGCCCTTGAACGGGTGTGGTTGGCTTTTTATAGTTGTTTGAGACCAATGGTCACCAGGGTTTTGCCCGGGGGTAAGATGGCTAGGGGTCCACCGGTACTGGCAATCTCCAATTCCAAGATATCCAATTGTTGGCCTCGTAGTTTAATCCATTGGTGGTGCAAGGGTTCTGCCGTGCTTTCCCCATCCCCAGTTCTCAACAACTGCACTTCCCGTAACAGGGGATACTTGCCACTGCCCACCACGGTGGATTCGACCAGATCCGAATAGACCATGACGGTGCGTTTACGTGTTCCCACAATCTTTTCAAACGAGGCATCCAGGTTGTTCAACCGCCATTCAAACGCCGGGAACAATCTCACCCACTTGACATTGTCGGCTGTCACGATCGAAAAGGCTCGGCTGGTGAAGTTGACGCCCTCGTACACCTCTCCTTCCCAATTGTAATAGGTTCGATGTCGACTACCGACGGGGCTCGTGGTCTCATCATAGGTCTTGGTGGGCAGAGAATATTGCAGATTGGGACCCAGCACAAAATCAGACGTGGCGTACCCAGTCTTGCCTGTCTTTCTGCGCAGTAATCCAAACTTGAGTGCAATGTCCAAGTTGATGTAAAACTCCACCATGCTTTCTTGGGCCATGTTTAGCAATTCTTTTTTGATAATCGCCTGAATCACCAGGGACTCCCCTTCCCAACTCAGTTGGGGCATACCGTGTTTCTTGACAAACACAATCGGTTTTCGGTCGGCTTCTTTGACCAGTAAGTCCCATTGGTCTTTCATCGCAGTGTACATGATGTAGTTATGCATGGTTTGCATCACGCGTTTCCAAAACTGACTCCCTGTCGACACGATTTGATTTGCATTCATGATATCTTCCAATTCGATCATGCCAGTCACCTTTGGGGACTCCACGCTCGTATACCCTGAAGTCGAGGGGTCACCCGTATTTGTCCATTTACGCACCATTTGCGGATAGGTGTATCGGACCACTTTGGTATGCGGATCCCCCGCGATGATGGCATTGCTCTGGCCTTGATCCGGCACAGTCAGGGACAATAGGGACGCGTGCCAGCTCTCGCCTGGTAAGCTAAGGCGTTCGGGCAGTCGGACCTTGAAACTGTTGTTGGAATTGTTGGGAAACTCGTCGGTTGGATCACTGATGAGCGTCAGGCGTTTAATCTTACTCATGCTGATGAAGAGGCATGTCCCCGAGGGTGCAGGGTCCTTTTATAGCCAAGTAGCCACTTTCTGTTTACTGCGAGGGACGCGTCCCACCACTGAATTGAAGGTCGATTGTTTGGGATGAAAACACACTTGCTGGGCAATGTTGGGAAAGGCCCGGGCCAGTTCCATCAGGGTCATGCAGGTCTTTTGTTTAGGGGGTTTCTTCTTGCGCATGGGTGGATGACGACCAGCGCGTCGGCGTTGTTTTTTCTTGGGTGGGGACCGTAGAGCCCCTCGTTTCTTGGCATACTCCTCAGCTCGATGGTAGGCATTGGCGTAGGCCCATTGCTGCTTGGTGGGACTGGCCAACTTTTCCCACCACGGTTGGGTTTGCCGTTGTTCAGCGGCTTTTTTCTGGATGAATTTCAGCACATCCGCGTCGGTGGTAGGGGGTGGCGTGTAACTGGCTCGAGGTCGACTGGAATCCGCCAGGACTTCATCGAGAAACCGTACCCGCTTTTTTCTTTTTCGAGGCGTTATTTTGACGCGGACCATGTTGCGCGGGAATCCAACTATCGTACTTAGCCGGCCACCCTTTCCACCGGACCAAGACCTGACGTCCTTTCCGTTTCAAGACTTTTTCGACTCGAAATAACGAGTCGTCTGACACTTGGACTTTTTGGACATCGGGTTCGTAAAACGTGCCTTTTATAGGCGTACCGTCCCATTCACTAAGTCGATAGGTGACCACGGGATGACGACGGACGTGCGTGACCACAAACACTTCTTCCGTCCAGCCCGGCAAATACCCTTTTTTAAAAGGACGATGTTTCTTGTTGAGACGCACCCGATCGCCCACGCGACATTTGGGCGGGGGGATCTTTTGCTTCAACCGTGATCCATAGAGTCGATCCCATACCTCGGACTCGTTTCTAAAGGTGACTCGATGCGGCGCTAGGCCAATACTGCGATGATAGGCGTGATTGTACGTATGAATCAAAGGTTGTAACACATCCACGTACCGTAACGTATTGTACGCGGTGAAATACCGGTACATGCGCTGTTTCAAGGTGCGATGCCATCGTTCCACCACTGAGGCCTTGCTATCCCCATACGTGAAAAAATGATGCCAATCGTGTTTCTTGAACCAGGCTTGGACCTTTCGATTCAAAAATTCTTGGCCTTGATCCGTCTGCACGCGGAGGGGTCGTCGCGGCGAGGCTCGTCGGCGTATCGCTTCCAATCCTCGGATCATTTCGGTGGCACTCTTCGATTTGATGGGAACGGCCCAGGCATACTTGGACAAGACGTCGATGACCGTTAACAAATATTTGTTGCCTTTGTTCCACCGACTGAGTTTTTGCATATCCACTAAATCCATCTGCCATTGTTCGTCTCGGCCAAAGACCAACGTGGGCGTGGTGGGAAACCGTGTCCGTCGGGGTTTGTGGAGCGTATAGCTCAACACGGATTGAAGAATCCGTTGCGCTTGCGGGGTTTTCAATTTATGGGCTTGGGCAAAGGGTTGGACCCCACCCAAGGCCCCAGGTTCTTGGGGATCTTCGTAAGCGCGTGGCAACGACATCAAGACACTGACACACGATTCGAGCCAATTTCTGTCTTTAATAGTTTTTTTCACAAACACCTACATGTTTTCAAAACAAGCACGAGCTCCCAAAGTTCTTATGCAAATGGCGTCTTCTCTCAAACTCTCGCTCCTGGGCTTTGACAGAGTCGCTAAACTGATTCAACCATGGATCACGCTTCATCTTTTCTATCGCTGGGTCTGGCCTCTCTGGGCCTTTCATAAGCTTGTGTTGGAGCCTGAATTGGAGCTCAGGGGGTGTGTCTTTCACCCATCCTCTCAGGGTCGGTTGCGCTTGCTCACGGGGACACCATATGGGGCCATGGAGCCATTGAAAGTAGCCACAGGGTTTGGCATGGGTGAGAAGGCTCCCACAGCTGAAAAACACTTTGTTGTAATTCTTAGCGGTGCGACTCAATTTCATCTTGGGGACAAACCCACATCGGCACTTGAGTTCTCCGTATTTCACTCGGGCATGGACTTGAGGATGCGTGTCTTCTTTCAATTTCTCCATCATCACCTCCCGCGTGTCTTCAAACAAATAGACCGGACACCCTTCTTGGGGACACTTGAACCTTAAGGGACCAAAATTGGATTGGGGGTTGACGCATTCAAGGAATCGATGGGGATGAAATGGGCATGCTTCATACAGGAGTTGGTTGAACTGAGTGTCCATCTGGTCCAGGACTTCCCATTCCCCCACTTCCGTCGCTGGATCCGAATGACCTTCCTCCACACATTCTTCTTCATACTCTT